CCCTCACAAGGCGACAAGGCAGCTCAAGGACGAAACGAGTCACCTCGCACCACATCAGCATCGTGCCCCCACGTGGGCGCACGTGGTCCTGTCCCCTTAGCCTAGTATAAATACTCATGTAAACCTCAGAAAGAGGGATCCAAATACATTCTCTCTAAACTCCCTTGTAAAAGCACCCGTGCATTCTCCGTTATAATATAGATTGGGCTACAGGTGTTCCACCTAAAGTCCTACCGGTCAATCTGCGTGTTTTTACCTTTCTTACTTTGCCAAATCAAGCAAACTATTCTAGACCCGGTCTAGTATAGTTTGACCGGTCAAGTAATTTACACCATCATTTTTGGCGCCACCCGTGGGACCGTTAAGGTTTCTTCTCTTCTAGACACAAACCTACCCACAAAAACACCACTCAAAATGTCTTCAAACCAACAAATCAACGCTACTTCCACTCAGGTGCAAGCCACCAATGAAGGTACCAGCATCCTTGTAGCTGCTACCTTACCGGTCATTTGAGCCCCGGTGTTGCCTTTGGGTCTGAGCTCTGTCCCGACGGCCAGCGTAATCAGCCCATTCACGACCCCCGTCCCTTCCACTAGACCGAGGGTCACGTTCCCACCAAGCATGACCCAGTTCATGAATGACCCAGCCAACGTACAAGCCATCCAGGGCTTTGGCCAGGTCATGGCCATGTGCCAACAGAATTGGGGGATGCCTTTTTTCCCTGGTATGTTTCCGTTCGCTCTTCCAGGTGCGAGAACCATGCCCTTACAAGCTCCGATGGCGGTGGCGTCGTTCCAGGCGCCGGTGCCGCAGCCATCACCTTTCCAGCCCCAGCTGGTCAGCGCCATGACCCCTGTCAACTTGGCCGGCGCACTAAACGCTACAGGGCCGTCGCGTCCCCCGCAAGCTACGGACCCGCAGATCACTCCTGATGGTCATTGCGTCTCAATTGAGAGCGATGACGGCGAGTGGGACATCCCGAGGGCCCACAAGAAGAAGAAAGGAAAAAACATCCGGCCAGCGACCTCCCGAAACTCCGCCTTCGAAAGGATGGGGGATAGGGAGGAAGGCCAGAGAAAGTCAGCCAAGCAAAGGCTGGGGCAGAGCGTTGCCCATGTCAGCGCGTTCGCCCGGCTAGGCGAGGTGCGGGAGGCCGAGCCTGCCCGCACCCGGTGCTCCCGGTCTAACCAGCAGGGGCCAGCGAGGACTAGGGCCTCCCACCAGGAAGAGGAGGCAGAAAGCCAGCCCAGGTTACCGGTGGCAAACCGGTTAACCATCCCGAACGACCGCATCCAACAGATGGAGGCAAAACTGGAAAGGCTGGAGAAGAAGGTCGGAGAGAAGAACGACCGGGACAAACCCCTGGCAGGGTCCCCGTTCACCACAAGGGTCCATCTGACACCTTTCCCGCGAAAGGTCAAGATCGACGCCCCCAGATTCACCGGGAAGGAAGATCCGGAAATCCATCTGGATTCCTTCAACCAGAGTGCGACCATGAACGGTTGCACCGATGAAGAAAAGTGCCTTCTTTTCGTCCAGACCTTGCGGAACCGAGCCACTGAATGGTTCAATAAGCTTCGCCCGGGAGGCATTGACTCGTTCAATGATTTGGCCTCAAAATTCAAGGCCAAGTTCCAGGAGAATTGTACTAAGAGGAAGAAATTCACCTATCTTTCTGAGAACCTTACTCAGTTCCTTACCCGGTGGAAGGAAGAGGTAGACAAGGTGGAAGAGATGGATGACAAGACCGTCCTATCCCTCCTCTTGAATGGCTTGCATGCTGGGGAACTATACAAGGAGTTCTGCCGGAAACCCCCAGCCACGTATCAAGAGGCCTACCACACCGCATGGGAGTTTGCTGAAGCTGAAACCCAGCTCCGGGCAAAGAGAGAAGCTGAGCATGGTCACAAGTCCAAGCCGGTGCAAGTCAAGAAGGAAGAAGCACCGGGACCTAGACGGCCGAGGCACCACTATGACCCGGTCATCCGAGTGGTCAATACGGAAGAAGGCCAAGAAATCCGAGAAGCACCGGTCATTCCTCCAGAAAAACCTACCGGTCAAACAGGGCGGCAATGGTCGGGTACCTATTGTTCGTACCACAGGTCAGATTCCCATAACACCTCCGAATGCAAAAGTGTTAAGGGGCTCATCCGACAGATGATCGACAGTGGAGAGCTGGGCAAGGATTACTTGCAGAAAGCCCAGGAGAAGAGTCAGTAACGGGTTAGGCCAGCTGCCCCGGGAGATGACCGAGACAACGACTGGCGGAGGAATAACCGGCCAAGGGAGCGGCAACCTGCTCCAGAAAAAGAGCACATCGGCATGATCTTTGGCGGACCCGAGGGTGGAGATTCAGCCGCGCAGCGGAAGAACTGGGTCCGGAGCATTTACGTTGGAGAGGTAAGTGCTGAACCACCCAGGCGTAAACATACTAGGAGGGAGCCGATCGTCTTTACTGACCGGGATCTCCCTCCTACCGGTGAAGATCACAATGATCCATTGGTCATCACCATGGACATTAATGGGGTGGATGTCGCCCGGGTACTTGTTGATACCGGCAGCAGTGTCAACATCTTATACCTGGAGACCTTCCAAAAACTCAGGTTGTGTCGGACACAACCTTAACCCCTCAAAACCCCTCTCTCAGGCTTCACGGGAGACACCGTTGAAGCTGAAGGATCCATAGTTCTACCGGTCGAACTAGGATCAGATGAAAAGACCGTGTGGAAGAAGATGCGGTTCATAGTTGTGGACATCAAATGCGTCCACAGCGCAATTCTTGGAAGGCCAGGCATCAATAGAGTAGGGGCGGTGATTTCCATGCCTCATCTATGCATGAAGTTCCACACTCCAGGTGGTGTGGGTGAGGTGAATGGCGACCAGAGGAACGCCCGGGAATGCTATGCCCGGGCAGTCAAGAAGATGACCAAGGGGGTCAATGTCATCTCCCAAGAAATCACAAAGGGAGAGACCCGGGAGAAATTGGAGCCCGAGGCCGAGACGGTGGAAATCGAACTTGACCCGGGTGATTCTTCGAGGATGGTCAGAATTGGAGCAAATCTCCCCGAGGATCTCAAGGTAGAGATTACACGGGTCCTCCAAGAATATGCGGGCATATTTGCATGGAGCGTGGCGGATATGCCCGGGATAGATCGCTCTGTTATCTGCCACCGGTTGGCCGTGAGGGAGGGAAGTCGACCGGTACGACAGAAGAAGCGGTACCTGGCCAGTGACCGGCGAGACTTCGTCAAGAAGGAAGTGAAGGACCTCCTCAGTGTTGGTCACATCCGGGAAGTCAAATACCCAGATTGGCTAGCCAACGTTGTCCTTGCTCCCAAGGGCGACACGTGGAGAATGTGTGTGGATTATACGGACTTGAACAAAGCTTGTCCGATGGACTCATATCCCCTTCCCAGTCCAGATCAAATGGTGGACGAAACTGCGGGGTGCGAACTCCTAAGTTTAATGGATGCCTTCAAGGGTTACCACCAAATCTACATGGCCAAGGAAGATGAAGAGAAGACATCATTCCTCACACCCGAAGGAACCTACTGCTACCAAGTAATGGCGTTTGGCTTGAAGAACTCGGGGGCAACCTACCAGCGCATGGTGAACAAACTCTTCAAGCCACTGTTGGGAAAGACCATGGAAGCATACGTCGACGACATGCTGATCAAAAGCCAGGTATCTCTCAACCATCCGGCTGATATGCGAGCCACGTTCGATATCATGGCAAAATACAACCTCCGGCTGAATCCTAAGAAATGCGTCTTCGCGGTTCGTACCGGGAAGTTCTTAGGATTCATGGTGACCAAGAGAGGGATAGAGCCCAACCCAGAGAAAATCCGGGCCATCACTGAAATGCAAGCCCCTACCTCCGTTAGGGACGTTCAAAAGTTGACCGGTCGCCTAGCGGCCCTCAGCCGGTTCCTTTCCCGGTCAGCTGAGAGATCCTTGCCCTTCTTCAAAGTTCAGAAGAAGGCCAACGCATTTGCATGGGACAAAGAATGCCGGAGGGCATTTGAGGAGCTGAAAGAGTACCTAGCGTCAGATATTGTATTGTCTAAACCCAAACCGGGTGAAACTCTGTATCTGTACCTGGGAATTTCCCCAAATGCTGTAAGCTCCGTTTTAATAAGAGATGATGGGGCACAAAAGCCCATTTATTATGTGAGCAAAGCACTAAACGGGGCTGAGAATAGATATACGGCGATGGAGAAGACGGCCTATGCGCTTTTCATCTCCGCAAAAAAGTTAACATCCTACTTCCAAGCTCACCCGGTAGAAATCTTGACTGACCAACCGCTGGGTGCAGTATTGCGAAATTCAACATCCTCCGGGAGGATGGTGAAGTGGGCGATGATGTTAACTCAATTCCACATTGAGTACCGGCCAAGGTCGGCAATTAAGGGACAGGCCCTTGCTGACTTCGTAGTAGAAATGACCGGTCTAACTCCAGACTTACCGGTCAACAAGCCCACTGAGCAATGGTGGGAGATGGCAGTTGACGGGGCATCCGGTCCTAGAGGATACGGGGGTGGTATCGTGTCCACCACCCCAGAAGGGTTCAAGATCTACCATGCAATCGTCTTCAACTTCAAGCTGACGAAAAATGAGGCAGAGTATGAAGCTCTGGCTGGAGGGCTCAGACTTGCCCAAGCCCTGAAAATCAACTGGGTCAGTATCAAATCTGACTCTAGCCTGATCGTTGGGCAAGTGACCGGTAACATGGAGGCAAGGGAAGAACGCATGGCACAATACAAGGACCTTGTACTTGCCCTGTTGAAAGGCTTCGAAGAGTTCAAGATCGCCCAAATTCCCCGGGCGGAAAACGCGGATGCAGACCTTCTCTCCAAATTGACGCAGTATGCTCCCGAGCATGTTTCAAAACTTGCCCGGGTAGAGATCCTTGACCGTGCAAGCATCGAAAAATTGGAAGTCGCCGCTATAACGGCCGGAAGCCAATTTGACCGGTCAAACTTGGTCGGGGCGGACGACCATTGGATGTATGATCCGATGGGATATTTGATGGATGGGAGCTTGCCAGAACAAGATGACCAGGCAAGAAAAGTGAAGCTCAGGGCACCCCGATTCCAGGTTCTTGATGGAAAACTGTATAAAAGGGCATTTAGGGGGCCACTCTTGAGATGTCCAACCAATAGGGAGGCTGAACGAGTCATAGCGGAAGTCCACGAAGGCGTATGCGCGGCGCATCAAATGTCCCGTACGCTTTCCCAACGCATCATCTTGTTGGGGTATTACTGGCCAACAATTGTCCAAGATTGTGAAAGGTACATTCAGAAATGCAGGACGTGCCAAGTATTCTACAAGTATCCTGGTAGACCGGCAACCTACTATCACCCCGTATCAAACGTCATCCCATTCGCTAGATTCGGGGTTGACATCATCGGAGCATTCCCAGTCACCCAAGGAGGGAAGAAGTTCGTGATCGTAGCCATCGATTACTTCACCAAGTGGATCGAGGCCGAAGCATTGGCCAACATCACCACGCAACAATGTAAGAAATTCATTTGGAAGAGCATCATCACGAGGTTTGGAGCGCCCATGAACCTCATCACCGACAACGGCCCACAATTCCGAAATCCAAGATTCACCGAATACTTGGAGGGCTTCGGGATCAAGCACAATCGCTCTTCGGTGGCGTACCCCCAAGGAAATGGCCAAGTCGAAAACGCCAACAGAACTATTGTAGATGGTTTGAAGAAACGGCTGGGAGAGGCAGGAAACAAGTGGCTGGAAGAGCTCCCACACATCGTATGGGCATTCCGAGTAACACCCAGGAGGGCTCA